AGCACGTGAAACCTGACGTACATATAGACTTTTGCCCCGTACATCGTACGCTTTGTAACTCGTGCATATATAGTATAATCGAGTTATAAAAGTCTTTCAATTCTCTAATAACAGTTTTTTGCAAGTTACTGCCTCTACTAGAACAAGGTAATTACAAACCAAGTCATGTTAATAAGACTATCGAAGTGGTGCTTGAAAAGATATATTGATATTTCAAACTTAGAATTAGCGATTGAAAACAACACCTAAACATTCAAGAAGATATCAAGGCAACCAGTCGTACAGGAATAATAAAAATCTAAAAAGGCACGAATATTCTGATAAGAATCTATGATTAACAACAACAAAAGAATTATAAGATATCACCGAAACAAATATTAAATCCTCGCATATTATCCAGACTTTCTTTAGAAGAATAAGTTTTAAGAAAAAACAGAAAACGCAGGTTTCAAAAAAGAGAAAGGAATGGAAAAAATGCAACGTATAAAGCGAAAACTTGAACTTTTCTGAGCAATTGAGAAATCATATATGACCATTACTTTTACCATTGGCTTTCTTAGTATTTGTACTTTCATCAGCATTTATATAACTTGCAACAGTGAGGAGCCATGACGGCTCAGCTCCTATCCTACGAAAAAAACATTGTACTTTGTTAATGTAAATTCCCTCATTACCTAGATAAAATATGCTCAAATATAGGTCCTCCCCCTTCTCGGATATCTGAGAGAGAAGAATATTCCTTGATGGCTTTCTGTTTTTTCTTCCTTAATTTGGTTAATCAGTTGGAATTTCTATGAGATTATCAACTACCTTTCCCAGAGTTGAAGTATTAGCTTATCTACGAGAACAGATTCGAATACGAATGACACTACGGCATTGCCTATGGCTAAGGCAACAAGAGAAAACTTGAACTGCCAATCTGGTATACGTATATTTCCAATGGCTACATCGACCCATTCATTCGCGGAGAGCACAATGAAAGCAGACACCTAAAGAGATAGCCAACGTAACTATGAAAATGTTAAGCTTACCAAGGTAACAGAAACAATAGCTCCTAAGAAAAGTCGATTACTGGTTATACCTCCTCTGAAAGGTTTGCCTTTCGAATAGACAACTGCTAAGGTGATATATTGGAACACAGACACGCAAAACAGGGCAGTTCCCTATTAGAAGAGTTTATTATGATACATCTTCAATAAGTAATACCTGCATGCTGCGTTTATCCTCGGGATCTGGTCCTTGAGGTGGCTCATAAGGAACAAACCATGGTTGATATGTAGTCCAGATAAACACGAAAAGCTTTAAAACAACTTTGAAACGAAAGTAAAAGATCACATTCTTACCTGAGTTGTTCCCATTATTAATAACTGTCCAATAACGCTGGTCATACTGGCGATGGAAAGCAACCGAGTCGGAGGTGGGCAATAGTGGAGACGCGGGTAAGCTGGTGTATTACCAAATAAGAGAGCGAGGAGAGTTATTAAAAACATATCGATATACATGAACTGAAATATTAGAGAATGACTGCTGACTGTTGGAAAATGGAATCACCTGTCCATCAGTGAGAATATTGGAAATGTAATACAGTTGCATTACAGTGAAAAATTGTGTCAACGAATATCCTGCCATATATTTGAAAATTCCAAATGAGGTCACTAATGCTGCTCTTCCTTCACTTATAATAGTGGGAACACAACGAATATCAGGAACTTTCGATGTGAATGGAGCTGCAATAGAAGCTTCAGCATCTGATAATGATATTCCAGCGTGAGCAGCTTTCAACGCAGCGCAGTCATTAGCTCCGTCTCCGCACATAGCAACAGTATAACTGACTTCCTGAAAAATTTTCTTGAGGTGGCTTCAATACCGTTAGAAACCTGTAGATGATTAATTAGCTGTTTCTTCTGTTCAGGTGCCATTCTAGCGAAAACATCGCACACACATACTAGAGAGTCTAATAGCTCAGGGTATTCATTGAAAATAATATTGAATGTAGCTCCAGAAATACAGAGATGATAATTACTATGAACAAGTAAACCGAGTTCAGCATCTGTTAGAGTCTTTTCGACAGGTTCATCATCTAGGATGTCGTCAGAAGAAGACACAGACTACAACGAGATGATATTAAGCTGGAAACAGAAGAACTATTTACCGGTTTTAGTGTCAAAGACGTTCTGCCTTGAGAATCCTTTTCATCTACCACATGGTCAACAATGAAAGTTCTCCTTTCTGGTCTGATGATTCCACACTCTCGAGCTACACTCAACGCGGTTAGTATATTGTCTCCTGTGACCATCACGGTTCGGATGTGAGCTCTATAAAAATCAAGAACGTATCAATCATACGAAAGATTCGGATATACCTATTCAACTGATTAACAACTCCAAGGGTCACATCTTTCACACGATTTTCCATGGCAACAATACCTAATAGTTCAAGCTCGCATTCAACCTGAAAACCAGTCAGTATAACTACTTCAAGCTGTAGCGAACCTGATTTCTCGGAATTTTGGCGGCTTTGGAATAACTTATATTAAGATGCCGGCGAGCCACAGCAATCAAACGGAATCCATGTTGAGCATAATGATTAACAATGGTCTGAAAAGATTTCGAAGTTCAAAATCAAGCTGTTTTTAATTACAGCATAGTTATCAGGAACAGTCTTTGGGTCACATAAGCTGGAAATCATTTCCGGAGATCCTTTACAATAGAGCGTCATATTATGGTCTTCATCATTTGGATTGAAAACGATTACTGACATCCGTTGCAGAGAGGAACTGAAAATTCAGATTGGGGAGATTGTAAGTAGTACAGTTTCTGACCTGAAAGTGAACTGACGAATGACGGAATACTCTTCGGGTTTTCCACCAACTGCTTGAGGAGGTTTGATAATTGACGGCTAAAGAAAGGAAGTTAATTAGCTACTGATATTTCGTATCTTACTTGAACAGCATCATAGATTTCAGCTTCGTTGTTAATTTCATCTCCACTGATTTCTGCTGGTTCCTCGAGAGACCATCCGGTTTGTTGGAAGAGAATGAGGTCTAAAGGATCGCCGTTCAGTGCACCATTGATTCTGGAATCATCGCGGTAATGTAAAGAACTTGAACTTCATCAACCTAGTCAAAGAGTGGCAAGTAGCAATAGCATTAACCAAATCACCCTTCATTGGTAGTTCTGCTCTCTTCATCTCAGCTGTTTCTGGTTTGAATTCAGCCTTCTTGTCTTCATTCGCTGGTTCAACTGGACGAATGACATGGAAATCAAGACCATCTTCCGTCAAGGTTCCTGTTTTATCGAAACAAACCTAAATTGCAGAGTTTGAATTCATTCTGAGAAGATGCAAAAACTAACCACATTCAAAGCTCCACATAAATTTATAGTGGAAGGTGAAATACAAAAAATGTCTTTTTTTTCCAGTCGGAGCTGAGCCGACATGATTCCGACAGACATCGCAGCTTGAAAACGTGATTTGAAACAAAGATCACAAATGAGAGTTGTTACCTGGTAAAGCAGGAGGAACTGTGATTGTTATGATGTCCAGTGCGCGGATGACAACACGTCTGAAACTGCTTCCTCGAACTACCATTATAATGATTGTGTAGATGAATCCGCATCCTGAGATACAACCCAAGAAACCAATGAACTGAATAGAAAAAATAAATATGATATCAATGAGATTGATTACCTTGAACAGATCCTTGGTGAAACGGAAGTCTATTGGTTTTGGGAACATTATAGAGCGTACAAGCTGCCCTTTGAGAGTAGAGAAAGAAGTTCGAAGAACAACAGCCTGTAAAATATAACATGTAATACAGGAAACTTTTGAAAAAGCCATCTGAGAGAGATCATGAGTGAACCCACCTTGACTTTCTGACCGGGATAAAACCTAGTTTGTAGCACATCAGTTCCGCAAAACAAAATATGCTTGGAGTGTTTCTCTAGGTGGAAATGAGCATCACTATGATCATCCGGCAGGGCAACCTATGATAATTGATGAGTTCATCCTAGATCATACACCTGATTTCATACCTTAGTTATGGGAACTGATTCGCCTGTTAGCATACTCTCGTTCACTATTACTGTACCATTCATTAAAACAGCATCGCATTGCAGAATACATCCAGTAGGAGGAATGAGAAGAATATCACCCGGTACAATCTCAATTTAAATGTTCCAGGAGAACAGTTGGATCTTTTCACACCTCTTCACTGTTAATTCTAATCACTTTTCCACCATTACGGATAACCTCCACCTCTTCTGATACGTTTACCATAGCACGTAAGCTGCAGATAAGATTGAACAAACGAACTCTCAATGCTTATCAAACCGTTTCTCTTGTTTTCTAGTTTGGAATATGTCCATTGTTATGGACGCTACAGACATCAACACGATCACAGTTGCATAATAACAATACTCATCATTATACCAGATGATTACGCTAAGAAGAAAATGAATATGAAGAGATAAGTATATCATACCTGAATATTTGAAAAATGTAAAATGGCGATATCACTTCCATGAATAACAAAACAAAGATAGATCGAACTTTCACCTCAATTAGATTCCTACCATACGTCTCTATACGCTGATACACCTAAGAGAAGAATTTGCCTTTTGAAATGATGAACTCGAGTTTTACTTCGTCATCTGTGAATCCTAAACATCCACGGACTATTTCGTGTAAGCGAGAGAGAGGTTGCTGAAAAGTGAATGTATGAATTTTCGAAATGCAGGATCAACTAATCGGTGAAACCCATGTGGGCTTGAAACTATTCTAATTTGTCACGCGAGAGATCAATTGAATGCTCTTTCTGCGCGTCGAATGGTTGCAATTCTCACAAAAATTTCGATGACTTCGTTTGATTCTTCAGAAAGCTATTCACCGTTTGATCCATTTCACTGGGAGCTACGAAAACACCACTACCATCTACATCTTCCCCTTCCATCCATATATAATGCAACTCCCGATAAGCGAACCAACGGAAAGACTCGACCTCCTTCATTGAACCATCCTCACGAGGTATAACCTCAAAACATATATTTAGGAAAAACATTTTGGAAACCGTTACCAATGGTGGTCCGTACTGACTTCTACGTTTAGTCGAGATCGGTACAAATTCAGCAACATTATCGGCATTGCTGAAAGCACTTCGTGTTTCCGACTCAGAACTGATAAAGCTTACACAATGAAAATGAAATCTGCATCTTCAAATGTTGACCGGACTGTGCGAAACCACAAATGCCATCTGGGCTTCCAATGAAGAACTAGACGGAAAAGTCCAAACGTTAATACAGAAAACAAGTAAAAAAGAAACTGCAATTAGCCAATTAGGTATTCGTAGTCACTTATACTTACAGTTCTTATGGAACTAGACCGGTATGCGAACAAATTCAGTGCATTTTCACCTGACTCGAGAGTCAATTGGTGGCGTCGGCCGCCACCTACCTCTCTCATGCCCTAGTGGTCTGGCAAAGAACCCACTGGAAAACTTGATAAAGTTTAATTTCATATGATGGATACGAATTTATGTCAACGATATACACAATGGATCAGTGAGCGTGTAGTACGAATCTCTATATTTTCATGAAAAACATAATTACAATCTGTTAAGTGCTGTATCAATTAAAAATCAGCTTTCTTGAATTGCGTTCACAAATTCTGCCACGATTTGATTCGCAATAAAACAAATACTGCATCATCCATATGATGTGGACGATTTGTACGATTTATGGAAGATTGAGAGGGAAGTTGTTTGAAAAGGTCATTCGAGTATGTATATATATATATATATTAATAAGAAGAAAAGTAATTTGAATATATTCATTCCACTTACAACTGCAGAGAAAGAGAAAAGCATATGACGAAGTAGTTGAAAGAACCATTTTGAAGCTGTGCTAACTCAAACTTCGGGATTAAAAGCTGGGCTTATTATTAGCTTTGGCGCGCGTTTCAAACAAAGTCAGAATGTTCTTTACAACACATATTTTATTAATAATTTAAAGGCTTTTTAAGATAATTTCTTCTACATTTTTCTGTTTGACATATCGAACGTTAAACTATGTTTTCTTTCTTTCAGTAAAACTTTGAAGAGGATGTCTGAAATCGATTTAAATGCCACAGAAGAATCGGTCGCTATTAGCAGTAATGTTGTGGAATTCTCCACAGCAACGTGTAAGAGAGGGAGAATTTGTGAAAGAAGCACCTGTAAAAGACAGAATTGATATTCTTAATTGATTTTTTGTAAAGCGACTGATGGTGTGCCATGAGATCAAAAAATTTTTGAATCAAAGTTGAAAACTGTCCAAAATGTGAATTGATGAGACATCGGAGATGGCATCATATGACAGGGACAAGATTAGCTTTGTTTAAATTATATGTGGATGAGTTTTTGGAATTAGAAGTTTTAAGTTGAGAAAAGAAAGTTTCAGGAAGTGTTCTGGAAAATCATTTCTGGGTGGATTAAGGAATGTGAAGGAAAGGTGTGATTGTTTGCTTTATAAGAGAGAAAATTGAAATTGAATAGACTTGAACCAGGTTGAACTGTGTTAGAGGTGGCGAACATTGATATCATTCGCAAAAAAAGAAGGATATTGTTCGTAAGAGATTTGGATAACACAATTAATCACCGATAGTTCATGATTCATAGAAAAAAAAAGGTTGCGAATACTCTGGTAGCAGAAAAGTTTGTGTCGATCGTTGAATCTTTTCATGATTTTCCCCCCAATTTGTTTCTTCTTTTAAAAAAACGGAAATGAGCAATTCTCTCTCTGTTCAATATTCTCCTCATTCTCTTGTTTTCTCACCATCTATCTCATTCCACTCTTTGTGTTTCTCATGAAAGCGACTACGGCCAATTGAGTAATTTAAAACTTTGGGATTGAAAGGTCTAGGTGAGTGTATATGCAGTATACCTTAAATGGCAACATGAAGAGAAAATAGCTAGGCCTTCAGAAAAGTAAAAGCTGAAGGAAAAAGGGGGGGGGGTGTTGATTCATTGTTCGTCTCAAAAAATTTGTTTAAAGAAAGATTGACAGGATGGATTAGAATCCGGACCTCATATGCGATCTATATAACCCTAATATGAACAGCAGGTGGAGCTAAAAGGAATTTTCTTTCCAAAAGTGAAGATTGATGAATGCGATTTGCATAGTTTCTCAGACTGTTCCAATAGATCGCAAAAATAAAAGCAAAAGTACAGAATTGTTTTGAGGAGCGTTCAGTTGCAGCAATTTGAGGGAATGAAAGGCTTGTGGACAAAACGATTTCCAGAAACTGTGAACAAAGGGCAAAAGAAAAGGTTAAGATGATGTAGAAAGGAGATGAAGATGATAGAGAGAAAAGCACTGGCCTCGAATCAGATCTAGATAGCAGGGCGTTGAAAATGACGAGTTCGGTATCTGTCGAAGCGTATTTACTGTGCAAATAATGCCACATAATCCGCCAAAAGCTAAAATTTGGAATAAAAATAGTCAAATTCTGAAAAATTCGATCAAAAACTGAACTCGGCATCGAATATGACAACGAAGTTCAGATGAAGAACGCCAGTGCCGAGTTCAGGTTTGAACATTTTGAAAGTTTTATGAACATTCGGATAGTTTTCAGTGGAAAAGTTTAAAGACTTTCATGGCTTTAACAAAATTCCCCGGAAATGGTATTAATTCTAGCTGATTGAACTATTTGTTCAACTGGAAACAGTCCGATATTCATTCGAAAGTTGGATGGAAGATAATCCTACAAACCGATGATGCTGAATTCAACCAATAGTCTTTTCAACGGAGTCAGGTGGATGACCCTGAAACGATAAGAAACATATAGTTAAAATAACAGATCTCCGAGAATTAGGGCGATTATCAGTTTTCCGCATAAAGAAAATTCGTTGATAAAACTTACTCGGCAAATGTTGGCATAGCAACTTGATCATCATTTGAAGATTCCCTCTTCTTCTCAGCAGCTTCAAGATACAGCGAGAACAGTCCAGGAAGTATGATAGATAATATTGTCATGGAAGACCCTCCAATCTCAAATTCAAAGTTCCTTCCAGATTCCTCAAAAGCTATAAAATACCAAGTCAAGAAAGATTCCAAAGTCAGGTAATGTGGCTGCTATGAAAATTGCAGCGAAAAATATTATCGATCGAACGACAAAACGACCTGATCCCATTTCTGGAAAAAAAAATTAATTTTAGAATCTTCTGTTCTTCCCACTGTCTTGCACTTTGAAAACTTGCTCGACCCCTTGTAAAACAGGATTGCCGATCACAATGATGGAGAAGAGCACATGAATGGTGACCATTACATTAACTATATGTCTGAAAGTTCATGTTAAAATTAATTTCCTACATAGGGTCACCTCAAAACAAGAGTTTGAATTGAAACTGTGATTGTGTCAGAGAGTGAGTTACCGTATACGGCATATCCCAGCATGGATATCGGGGCGTAGAGGAAGAACATAGCTAGCAGTTAGAACGGTATTACTGGTGCTTGAACATGCCATACCTATGTATCCTAAAATCACAGCTTTTTGAAAATGCTCAGGTTTTTTCATGTCGTGTTGAATTGTAGGTAATACTGGATGGCCACTATAGGAGAATATCATAGTACCAAAGCTCAGGGATAACTTGCTCAGAGAAAATTCCGAGTACTTGACTTCCTGTAAGAGAAAGCTGATAAGAGCAAGAAACGTTATATTTCATTACTGAAAGGCACATGGGAGAATCGATGCTCACTCCTACCAGCAGTATAACCACGGCTAAAGCAGTAGCAGAAGCTGCTACAATCGAAACTTGCCTGTTGAAATTGAACATAAAAGAAATTTGATTTCATTATACTACCAGAAATGAGCTGGACTTCTCAGCATCGTGAAAGGCCAAATACCCAAAGCAAGAGCTGATAGAATTATACAAAAGTGAACTCTTATATTAAACAATGATAGGAGATCCGATATGTTCTTCGAAGCCAAAATTGAGAAAACAGCCATTCCTCCGAACAGGGTTAGATAGCTGCTTATATTAACCAAATATCTTTAAAACCTTTGTTTATATTTGAGAATGTAACCAGATAACGTAACTCGGCTCCTCTACCCATAGCTTTTCTCCCCATTTCAGGATAAGGGTTCCGACATGGTTCCGTCTTATACTTGGGCCACAGCTTTTGCATGATCAGCCAATTTTTACCGAGAAGAGAGGCGGTATAGCCAAGCAGAACACACATCAAGATAAGCAAAACAGATCCACCAATAAATCCTGAATGAAATTTCTTGTTTCTTTCTTAAAATCAAATCTGACCAGCGTTCATAGTAGCAGCGGGTAATGCAACCATTCCACTTCCTGCTGTTTCTCCTACTATGAAGATACTGGCAATAATCCAACTAAACCCTCGATGAGAATGGTCTGCCTATGAAAAAGTTGTAACAAACGGCTAGAGAAGAAACATTACCTCATCCTCCTTATTTTTTGTTTTATCATCATCAGGACTCAAAGCTGTTGATTTAGCTATGTTGGTTATCGTAAAGTCAGTTAGTCCCATAATGAGAATAACACCTATAAGTAGTAATAGTAGTTTGGTAGTCGGGTGAAGGGAAACTATCACAAGAAACAACGGAACGCGACCTATACGTACTGAACACCGAAAGATTTTGTTTGGAAATTTGAACTGTCATGGAAGCAAACAAATTTTATTTGTTTTTATGAGTGAAAAACGTAACAAACAATAAAGTGTACAGAAAAGGAGGATTACCTACAACTTTCAATGAAAAACAGTCAAATAATCGTCTTCTTATAGAAGGGTTTTCACGGGGGTGACGAAGCAAAGGATTTCATCCATTTCTTGCAATCTACGAATTTTAATTGCTTTCTCATCTGTTTTTTGAATGATTGGAAGTAATTCTCGTAAATATAATTCTGACATTAACTATTGCTCAGGTGAACGACTTGAGAAGAAAGCTATGAACATCTTAATACGTGAAGAAGTTAAAAGAAAAAGGAACTTGTGTATTCTATGACAATGAAATAATAATGTGGGATAAAGTTATTTTAATACAAACAAACTTTCTGAGAAACCAGTTGAGAAGTGAAAAGAAAGGCGACATAAAACGGAAAAAACAGAATCCTGATCAGAACAAATGTTTGGCCATTGATAATAGTCATAATAGCCGGAGAAGCGAGAGGAGGGGAGAATGAAGGTATCAGCGAAAAGTTGATATGTAAAGATCACGTTAGAGAACATATTTAGAGTAAGAAGGATGTTGTTGGACACGTCTAGAATCAGGTGACATCCCCAGAAATTATTGAGTACGCAAAAAAAAGATTCCGTAAGGTATAAATGAGATTTATTGTAGAAATAATAATACGAAACTTGTTGGACAGTTGTGGCAAAAGACCGGCGGACAAGGCGATTGGATCCCATATTTGTCCGTGATATAGGCGATGGTGATAAGCGATAGATTGAGAGACAATGAATGGCACAGAAAGAATTAAGAGAATTATAGGAAAGAACAGGAAAACGGGTGTCACGCTTATCAGATTATACTTCAGCTACCGCTAATTTCTGGTTGTTCGCCTCATCATAGTGGCTCTGAGAGAACCCCTTCATGGGTGAATTCTAAATGAGGAAAGAACAAAGAGTTCATATCATTATTACATCACTTTATTACTTTATTATTAAGATGTTCCATCCATTATGATATTCACAAAGTTAAAGTTTGACATAACACACAATCTGCCAATCACAAACAAAATATGGCAACATAAGTAAAACGAAGTGAGAAGGTGAGTGAAGCTATGAAAGAAGATTTTGATACTCGCCGAAAAACACCGGAGTAAATGCGATAAGATTTGAAATATAAAACATATGTGTTCGAACATGAAAAGTAAAGCTGACAACGATTTATAAAATTGTATAAAATAGCGGGAATCCAGCCCCATTGTTTTAAAGTTGGTTCCTGAGAAGATCCAAACATGAGAGTAACACTATCGTTGACCAACACTCTCCAGTTGGTACTTGAATAACATATCGTTTATTTCTTTTTGTAAGTGAACCGCTAAAGCAGGTGATTTGGCTTCAAGTTCTCGGCAGGTTTGTTCCACAAGTTCTCCTAAAATATTTTGCTTGAAAGGATACTCACACCTTTGCTTACCCATCAATGTCCACTTATCTTTTTCATCTCTCTTAACTTCCTTCAATCTTGAGAGAGACGAAATGATAGTTTTCATCTGAGACTGTTGTGGAGGTTGAGAAACTGATTTCTTCTTGCTATCAGTATCCGACAATCTTTTAACAGGCTCTAACAAAATGGAGGAAAGAGATTTGGAAGACTGAAATTATCATAAATGTAATTTAATCTCCCGTTTACAGGGCATACTGTTATTTGAGCCGTCGCAGTTGCTTTTGGAGTATACTCCTGTGATATCAAACATTGCATTGCGGCAGCAACACTGTCTTCTTTCGGAGGAACCCAAGTAGAAGCGGCCTGCTGAATACTCAACAATAACCAAAAGAAAATTCATGCTTACAGTTGCGTTGGCCTTTTTCGCATTCGCACATGGCGTTGAAATAGCTACAGGAGGAACATTAGCTTCGATTCTAGGCTTCTTAGCATCATTATCTTCTGTATTACCGCTGAAAACACTATTGTATGTTTGAGAAAGCGACAACCAAACTTACTGATAGCCTAAAATTCGTTTTAAATATGACCCAACATCACTACCCTCACTCATGTCCATGACAGCCGTTGTTGTTACTGTTGCAGTAGCTGATGGACCAGCCACGACTGTTGAGGAGGGGGTAGAAGTCAGGTTAGAAACCGGGCTCGCAGTGGCAGCATTAGGTGAAGTAAGTACCATAATTTCTAAACACCAACTATGAATGTTTCACTTAACAAAGCAAACTAACCAGTATCTCCTATGTCATCAAATCTACATGCATTCATGACTTGAGGAGTTAAAAAGGCCATACTCTCATAGAACTCCCATCCAGTTGCTCCGTTAGTTTTTAACTGTAATACAACTTTGAGTTACAAAATCTTCAATCTGAACGATACTTTCTTATGCTGTTTGTTAAAACATTCACGAAGTAAAGACCATTTTCCAGCGATGTGATCTTCTGTAAAAAGCGACTATTTTACAGATTCAAAAACTACACACCATTAATTAGTAGTCCGTCAGGAAGTTTGTGAAGAGCTTCAGTCACTTTACTCAAATACTCTCTCCTTTTGATTGTATTTCTAAAAAAATATGAAGTTATTTGAAAAAAAATCATTGACAACCTGAAGAAAGGATGAGATGAATGCCAAAGGGCAGGATACTGCTTTATCTCCTCAATTAAAGCCTTCACTAACTCATTTGTCCATTGATCTACTCTTGCTACTTGATGAGAACCTAACGAAGTAGAAGGCACATCGACTGGAGCATCTAGTAATTCTGAAATTGTTTTATACAATGACTATCAGACAGTTGTATTTCTAACCTGGTTTAGTTTCTACAGGCTCTAAAACTTCAGTTTTATTTACATCATCAAGTAAGTTAGCAACAGCTTCAATATTGAACTTGGGGGTGGTAGCCAACTTCAACTGAACGAAAAGTTTGCCCGAGGGAATATTCTGATCAGTACCTCTAGATTAGCAACTCGTGCGTTATCTTTTTCTTTGTGCGCTTCATGATTTTTATTAATCGCACTGACAATCGTATTAATTTTAGTGCCTTTCCGAGGTCTTCCCCGTCGAGGAGCAGGGTTGCTTGAAGTTAAAGAGTTGGCCGAGTTTGTTAGTTTTCCTAAACGAGCAGGTAAATCAGTGATAAATAGTAGAAAGTCAAACCTGAGGCTCGGGTCACAACTCCTTCACTTTCAGGCACTGCAAAGAAAATATTAACTTTTGAATACTTAACAACAGCTTACGTTCTACTTTCTTTCCTAATTTCTCATATATTTGAAGTTCAACTGCAAACAGTGGCTGAATAGCACTTCTACGTTTGCTTTTCGGTAAAACAGTCTGAATAAAAGAGATTTAGGAAAATATGGTTTCAAAATATTACTTCAGCAGCTAATTTCTCGCAATCCTCCACAGCGTATAGACTAGTTAGTTTTGTAAATCTCTCTTGTGATATGCACCTGAAAGAAATTTTCATCCGCATATTCATTGTGAACTTCGAACCCTAAGTAAGGTGAACTATTATCTGGATTAGAATTAAGGAAGCTCATGACGCCCGAATATCGCCACTTCCAAGTGTTACTCAATAAAGATCTTGAATGCATTTCAACCATCCAACACCACTTCTCAAGAATGGATAAAACTTCAAAAAAAAAACCATGATCGATTAAGACGAAAGATAAGCTTTACCTGTCATTCTTTTGTCCGAATTTTGCAGTAACTGTGAGATTTCCTGCCATTGGTCGATCATTTGATTTTTAGTAGTTTTTAAAGCGCATTCCCAAAGTTCTCTATGCTGTTCAACCAACGCTATCAGAATTCCTCTCATAGGATCAGTCCATTCTGGTGGATCCTACGAACAACATAAGTTATATATGGTAGCAAACAAAACAAATTAAGAAAACTAGGGAATCCGTATAAAATAAACCATAAACGGTAGTGTAAGAGTAAAACATACGGTAGGTGGAATGTTCTCAAGTACAGCAGGGTTCGCTTCCTCTTCTTCGACTTTAATCTCTTTTCTACGGATGCCAATCATTATCTGGTATTAGAGTATCATCGAATTCAAACCCGAATAACACGTGAGTTTCTAAAAAGAGGTTACTGGTTTCAAGACTGATTAATATCGGAAACTTACATCTGCAAGGTCAGAGAGGCCGCGGTGAAATTCGGATTTCTTCAGACTTGTCAGACAAGCAGGATAGGATAAGCTGGATAATTAGAATATACTTGTAATTTAAAAATGCTTTTCAATAAACGAAAAAGTCCAAAAGTGGTGGTAGGGACGGCAATCCTGTGGGACGCGATCGATAAGCGAGAAATGGGCGGGAAAGCTCCTCCCATTGCAGCAGGCACAGGGAGGAGGGGGCGGTGCAAGTCACTGGCAGAAGGCCAAAGCACGCCCCATCTATCCGTCGCTGTCGTCAGGTCGGGCGTTGGAAGGGGCGGTTCAGGCCATCAAGTAGTAGCTAGACTAGTTGGATTGTGTACGGCAGCTAAGAGACTGGCATTCATCCAAACTCCTCCCTTCTAAGCGCAGCAGACATATAGAGGCATCTAAACTCAGCAACTTAACCCAACATATGAGTTGGCAATTTTCTAATAATTTGCTAGCTCGCAACCGTTCCCATCTCCTAAGTCTGATTTGAACGCAGTTAAGATACATTTCACGTTTCACGTGAAATTGAAATGTGTAATAGAAGGGTGAATGTGATGTGGGTGGAGCTTGAAAATAGTGCGTGAGATAAGACGGGTACAGAGAAACGGAGAAAATGTATAGAAACACAGGAGAGTATACGAAGAGACGAGCAGGAGATGAAACTTTGCTAACAATTGAAACAAAAAGACAATTGTGTGCTTGTCTTAATTCGTGAATTTTCCAAACCCTTCTTTTCTCATGAAAATCAGGGTGTTTCGGAAGATTCATGGGTCAATTGAAAATGTTCTTCATGTACATTTACAGATGATGTGAATGTTTAGATGATGATGTTAAATATCTTAAAACGAACAGTTCTCTGTCTTTATCCAATATTAATTCTTTACATTTCATTTTAAAAGTGACTGAATAGATTATGATAGCATTGAAAATGTCACATGAAGCTTGCAGTTCCTTTCCATATCAGTTTTAACCCTGTAAATATTAGCACCAATAAGTAAAATCAATTGATGTTCCTCTTGCGTAGGCCAGTCACAGCTGGCTCATTATTAAAATTCTTAAACCTCTTCCACTCACCTTGCATAAATCCGCAGCAGGAAGTTGTAACAAAGTTTTGTCCGCTCGGTAAATGGCCATACGCACTTTGGTGTAGCTCACCCCATCAAAGGATCTAAAATAAGAATGTTAGAGTGTAGAGGAAGTTGTCAACATACACATCACTGTTGAGAGGAGCTGAAGTTAATGATCGTAGCTGAACTCCTGGAGAAGCTTCTTCGCTAAAATTCCTTTCATATCGAGCAAGCTGGTTACTGATTTGCACTTACATTTTGGCCAAGCATTTACTATCGTCAGTGTAAGTTTGTGGGAATGGAGCATTCAAGTTATTGGTACAAGATCCAAACCACCACCCTCTATGCACAAACGAAATTACAAAAAACACTTTGCTAAACTAACCCTGTAGATGCGAAATTTACATTACCGTCATCCGTAACTTCTTCGAGTATATCACAAGAATCAACGAGAGATTTCAAATCGTCATCAGCTTTTATGGACTCATATGTTCCGAATGGAGCACCAATATCCGTCTTCGAGAAAGTTTCTTGAGCACCAGCAACTGTATTCTTGAAAGCTAATCCAACGTTATCAACAGTACTGTCAGCATTCAGTTTGAAACCGCTGTTTTCGTCAGAGATCTGAAATGAGAAGTAATAAGGATCAAGAAATCAGTAATAGTAATTTCATTGAAAGTGATTTAGGCCCGTTTTCAAAGATGGGTGGAGCTCTGCAAAACGAAAATAGCAAAATCATTTTCTCAAAGAAAATATTATGAAATGTTTGAAGGTTTCGAGAGACTCATTCTGCAAAATGAAATCTTTCGTTGATGCCGTCATACGAATGACATTTTCATGTTTCAACCAGGCTATTTCTTCGATGAGTAAAGCGAGTGTAGCGGCAAAAAGATTGAACAAAAGGAACTTTCTTTTGAGTTCAATACCATACTTACCGCAAAGTTGTTATAAATTTGAGAATCAATCAGAGTATCTTTGCAGCAGACGTCAATTCGTAGATCATAGGTGTTGTTTAGAGACAATAGAACCATATTGTTCAATCCAACCCAATAGTTTCCTTCAACGTTTCCGAAGGGACTCTTATAAGCGTCCAAAACTGTCTTCCATTCATCTGATTTCTTGTTGATGTCACGACTTAAAACTATTTTTTTGAACAATATGATTGTTTATAATACCTTTGAATTACTGTTAAAGCTCCAGATAAATGATTTGGTGAAAACACGCAGTAAGCTGGAACCGCCGTTTTGCCATCAGGATAAATATTGTGTACTCCATTTGTACGATCGATTACATCTTCGCAATCAATTGGATAACTGGCTTAAAATGCAAGAATTGGTATTTCAAATGAAATTGAGGAAACTTACGAGCAAGAGTACTCATCGGAGATACTGAGCTGCCAGATGGAAGAATTGTAGTGGAGACAGTAGTTGCAACTGGTGTTGTAGTTGGAGCTGGAGTGGTTGGGGCTGCAGCATTTGATGTCCAAGCCAGTTGAACGCTTAGAACAGATTTTCAGAAATTTTTCGATTTTAAATGATATTCACCTTGTAGTGGTTCCATCCGATCGAGTTCCATCGCTGAAAAATGTTGCGATGCCTTGAAGTTTAGGATTATCATTCGTATATTGTCCGGTCCATTCATCAATCACATCCTTGTTTTGATTCGTTAAACGAATTTTGAAGTTGAATCCCTAAGTCAAAAATTAAAAATTAAACATGAAAAAATGTAACTTTGAAGTAAGCAGCTAGTGGAACGTTGATAGGATTTGCAATGCTGTTATAACTGGCTTCTTGTAATTGAGCATAATTTGATCCAGTGCTTATTACTCCATAATCGTTATAGTTACATTCGCTGAAGAGAAATTATCATGCTTAAGACATAGTCCTGAGTATTAGGGAAAGGTGCTTCTCTTATCGAGCCATACAATACTCTGATCGCTGTATTAGATTTTACAGGTTCATCGGAACACAAAACTGTGATGAGTAAATGTGTTTGAATTTGAAACGTTAGTAAGACAGGCAAGGAATAAGTTAGAAATGAGACCAACCTTCCGGTTTCGGCAACACAAAATTCAAGATGCAATGAACATTGTGATCCGGCAAATGCGAACTTAGAACACGCTTTTCCATTTTGCAATGTACCAGCAGGGTTCTCAACACGAGTGAGCATAACATAGAGATAAGGTGCTTCTGGCGCTGTAGAAGTTTGACTCGTAGGTGCAGAAGTTTGTCCAGTTCCAGTTTGAGTAGCAGGGGCAGTAGGACTGTTAACAGTAGTTGTTGCTGCAGCTGGTGGCGTTCCAGGCGTTGAGACGACAGTGGGTTGGGGCGTTTGTGTAGTCGTGTCAGCATATAACTTAGCCACTAACTAAAAATTCAGGAGAAATCAGAGAAAAAACAGTGAAATCTTACAAGCGACAGACCCAAGAGAAGCCTAATGGACCTCATCTTCTAAAAATGTAGATGATTAAAAGAGAACGATAGCAAAGAGCATACAAAGGAGAAATGCCTGAATGGAAATCCTGATGAATGAAGACGATTTGCTTCTAATACCGTCCTGTGTATTACGGTGGAGTTATTAAGATAAGAGTATATTCGTAATCTATTAAATATTAATCGCCTTTTCGTCATTGAACAAACATGCAGCGGCTATTAGGGTTTGGCATTCCAATTTAACAATTATTTTATTGGCTTCTTCAGATTCTTAACACTTCTTATCATAACATTATTCTAATGGAAACACCTACCTCATGAATACATCTCTTCATTCGATTATAAAAATGAGATTTCATTGATCTTAATAATGCCAATTGCATCTAAAACACAAGAATAGCTGAAAGCACAACCGCTCTCATCCAATTCACAAACTCAAAAATGAAAAGTTCATTCAAGTCTTCCATTGTTAAATGCTAATTACATCAATGACATTCTATTTGAAATTTTCAACAAATTTATTAAAAAATAATTGACACGTAGCACAGTAGAGAGCCAATAGCCATTGGTTGATGAAGTAACTCAAGGATGTTATCAATAACAATTACACAATAAGTTTGTGTGACATATTGAATTGAAAAAAAAGAGAGAAAAATAAGAAAATGCTTTTCTTGGATGTAAGAAGAGTTATTAAAAGCTGACATGTGTTGGCAAAAACATACAAGTATGGATTATTAATGGAAGAGAAATATGAAAAGAATATATAAATCATTGAAACACAGATTGTAAACCGTAAATATGCATTTGTTTTGTTGTTGTTGTGGTTGTTGTTAAAATAATTATAATTTAAGCGGATTTGAGGGGAGAAGAGGGGCCATGAGAAGCTGATTTGATTGAACCCCAATGAAGAACCCGCACAATTATTATTGTGAGCAGAAATATATGACTTAAAATACTCAAGATAAATAGATAATCTTAAGAAATCAATAAAGGCAATGATGGTGAATCAACTAAACTATAATATAAATGGAATGAAATAGTTCGTATTCTATGTGACCGGAACAATTCGGTAACAGAGTCTTGAAATTTGGACTAAAAAGAGATAAATGGCCAATATCGATTGGTTAACTAGGATTATGGAGAGATCTAGCTTTATACGCGACTACCAGCTTTATCATTTTCTACTTTTTATTCTTTTTTTTTAATGTAGAAAGAATTTTGTTAGCTCTACGAAAGTGATTGTTAAGATTTTCAAAAAAAAAGTTGGAAGGCGGTAAGTTTTTCTTCTACTACACGAGATCTCTCTCTGAGTAAGAACCGGTTGATATGGCTTATCATTGATGGTAATGAAGACGTTCTGTTAAAGAGCTTGTGTGGCATTTTCCATGACAGCCCAAGCAGGGAATTCGTTCAACGGTAACAGAAGAAGAGCTACAGTATTCATATAAGCTATTGTGAGAAGTAGAGTCACTAAGGACACAACGATTCCAACGGTTGCCTGAAACAGTTGAGATGATGGATTATCATTTTAACTATATGTAATTACCATATCTGATACTTTGACCATTCCACTTCCGAATACAATGGCATTTGGTGGAGTTCCAACAGGCAGAACGAAGGCAAAGGAACAAGCTAGAGTGACTGGTAACATCAGAGTGAATGGATGATCACCCGTTTGTTGAGCCTACAAATATTTTACTTATAAATCGTTACTATTCCATATCTTCATACCAAAGTTGCTACGATGGGGACGAAAATACTGGCTGTAACGGTGTTACTGCAAATGTTCGTAATGACCATAGCAATGGCCATAGTTAAGAGTTGAAGAACCCAAAGAGGCAAGTGGCTGAGCTCAGCCAATGAAATTCCAATTTGTACGGATAACCCAGATTCTTTGACTCCAGCAGCCAAAGCGAATCCTCCACCCAAAAGAAGAACAACACTCCATGGGAAAGTTTTTTGCATGGTGGGCCAATCCATTAGACATTCTTTCTAAATAAAGGATGTTCAAAAAAAGAAGTAACAAAGAAATGCACCTTCTTAAGGTCATCGTCTTTTACATAAGTAAAGAGGTCAGGTTTTTCATTGGGTAGTACGAAAAGAAGGAAAGAAACAATCATTGCAGAAGTAGCATCGGTGTAGAACCCTTTAGGGAAGAGACTGCCGAATCCTTCGAAGATTCCTGGGTTACGGAAAATCCAGAGGAAGAGAAGAAGGCCGAAACAATAGCAAACAGATTTCTCAGCATAACTGCAATAACAAAATGATTGCTAGTTCAAGTTGATTCACAAACCTTATCCTTGGCAATTTATCGTATCTTGAGTGGAGCAGTTCAGTGATGTGATCGTCTTTAGCTGGAGCAGTGCGTAAGAAGAAGAAGCAGAGAATAAGCCAAGCTACAAACAGACAAACACACATCAGTGGACAAGCAAATACTATCCACGAAATGTAGTTTAGACTTCCATCAGAGTTAGGGAATAAGCTTAAAACAATATGTTTTGGTTTTCCTATTATTTGCTTTCTTACTTTGCCAATTGTCCGAGCATCACAAGATTTGAAGGAGTTCCTGTGGCCGTTCCTGTTCCTCCGATGTTAGCAGCAAAACAGATGGACATCACTAATCCCGTAGCCATTTTCTTGCATCCTCTTCTTCCGGCTTCACTGAAACAGAAGAAAACATTATTTATCTTAACAGCCTTCTCAAAAGTTCTCCAACTCCGAATTTCATTTGAACTGTGGGAAAAAAGAAAAGAGAATGAATCTTTTGAGCTTTCAAGAAAGAAATATATAACTCTTCTCGTGATAAATTGAGCTTCTCGAGAGATCGCGTGAGATAGAAGCGCACATAGTTTGATCAAATACTTTTTTTCCATTTGCTGAATATTCCAAAGATTTGCTTACTTATTTTGTGGATGAGATTCAAATGAGGCGATCAGCTGAGAAATGACTGATTGACCAATCGGAACCATCATAGCTGTTGTGGCTGTGTTAGAGATGAACATACTAAATAAGGAAACAGTTATATCTAGTTTTGTAGTTTGATTTGTTACCTTAACAAAGCCGTGACGAGCATGAATCCAAGCATGATCCTTAAAGAGGGAATAGTTACTTCCGGTTATTCTATTTATACCATACCATTTAGGTTCTCCTCCGACCATTTTAAGAACAGATAAAGCTACCCTCTGATGCAAATCACATTTTTCAACAGCTGTGGCCATTATCAGTCCTCCAATGAAGAGAAAGTTTGTATCCTGTAACAACGATACTATAACTTCAAGTTTTCCGAGTAAATTTAAAAGTTCAGTCGGCTGTTATCAATTTCACTCTCAACCTGACAAGTTACAGTAAAGTAACATTTCAATATTTATATTTTTATAGTTATGAGAGACAGAGGAATCAAGAATCTTTTTTTTTCTTCTTTGATTCCATCATCTTCAACAACTGTTACTTCAAATTTATACGAGCCAGTGTGAGTTGCGAATGGATACCTATTGAATGAACGGATATTCAAACATAACAACTTACATTCATAAATTCTTTAGCAGTTGTATTACAGTCTAATACACCTGTTAAAGGAAATAGAACGACTGGTAACATGGCTGTAACTGCCAAAGGCATTACTTCGCACATCCAATAAACTGCTACGACACAAACACAGAAGGCACATCTCCATTCCTGAAAATGAATGTTAAAAATAAATTCTATCCATATTTCAATTATTAATCTGTTTCTCTCCAACATCATCATCTTCAGTTCAATTTCCTTTTCCAAGAAAAATTATAATGAGCTAATGAACCTTCTCTATTCAATGATCTTTAAGACAAGACGTTTCCTTTCCTTACTTTAATGTTTTCATTCAAAGATTATTGTTCAGAATTTGAGATGAGATGTAAAAAAATAATCAAAATATATCATTACATCTCATTTTGCAATTAAAAGTTTGAGTCGAGAGGAAAGAATTTGACAGAAAAAAAAATCAGAATGCTTTGAGGTCTTGTGACGTCACAAGATCAGCTAAGAACACCAATGCTTTTCTGGTTTCGTTTTCAAGATTATAGGGATAAGTTTGCATCTTAAAACTTGATAAACATTTGGTTTTAAATCAATTTTAAACATTACGGTAATTTGCAGATTTTTAAAAATAATTTAAAATTTTTGATAAGACTTTTCATGCCCTATAGTTCATTGATAGATAGACTGGTTAGAGTGAGAATGAGAGAAGCTTCATCACTATTAAAGAGTTCTAACAGTTGCGTTTTGATCTAACTTCTTCAAGCCGATTGATTCTTTAATAGATACAGGAGACTCCCCTGATTTGAAATTGCAAAATTTACTAAAAATATCGAAAGAAAGTGATTGATTTATGGAGAACGTGTGTCATCGAGGTCTGTTCAATGAGCTCTTGTTCATCTGTTTCTCTGACTTTCTCTGGAAAAACCCTTGGGCATGCAAAAAAAAAGAACAGAGACACCTGGCGGCATCAGAAGAAGGTGGTGATATGGTGTGTCTAGCGGTTTTCATCAAATAAAATTTAATTTGATTCATAAAACCTTTTCTCTTTTTTTTTTCATTTTCATCGAGTTTTTTGTACGAGATAGCTTTTCTCTCATTAACCTTGACAACTCTTTGCAGAGCTCTACGTCTCTCTTTCTTTCTTTTTTTTTGCATCGCCCTCTACCGATCGCAAATGTTTCGATTATTGAGAAGGAGAGCAACAATATAAATAGAAACATACATACCTGTTTTGGACTGAGTAGTAGTGGAAGGAAAAGCAATGGAGTAACAGTTAAGATCAAAGCATTTTTTACTCTCCGTAAAAACCCACGGAATGTTAAGTAACGTGAGACCTGAAAAAACGTCAAGTTTTAAAATTTCATTGGATGATCTATCTTGATGTCATGAAGAGCTTAAGATAACTCTTGCGCGTGAAAGCACGAGACTGGGTGTCGAATTACGTCAAAGGACCTCATTTTTTTGTTGAAATTTAAAGATTCTTTTCATTTTTCTGTTTTCATGAAGGAAAATAAAGATTTCGGCTAGACGTTCGCGAGGTTTGAGATCAAAATGTGATTATGATGAGATAGAAGTCATTCATCTATGTATACTTAATGTATGTATTGGATAAAGTGGAAAAATGAGGAAAAGCAAACATAATTCACCTCAGGATAAGCATAAGCCGTTGGAAAGTTGGTGCTGGATGAGCTTTCCAACATACGCTGACGAGATTCTGATGAGTCTGGCCATCCTGATAATAATAGAGACATCTTTTTGAATACCTGAATATGAATAAATGAATAATTTATCAAAAAATGACGTTATAAAACGATATAGCAGCGATAATAGAATAAATATGAACAATTATTAATGTATGGGTGCATATGTCCTCGAACAGAGCAGGAAGCTCACTGAGCAAGTGAGCTGAAAATTTTGAGAAATTTAAGCGGTCTAAGGCGCGGCTTGCATCACTCTCTCATCCACAAAACAGCTGACGATAAACCCGAAATAAGAGTAAGACGAGGGAAAGCGAAATGATGAGAACGAAAAGAGGAGGAGACAATGAAGTAAAGAAGGATGACGTCATGATAGGCATCTGATGTCTTGATATGAATGTCGTCGTTTAGTAGACACAGAAAATGATGCACAAAGCAAAGAATTTATTAGAGAATAACGGTATGATGAAGCTAGAAACGATGAGAAACTCATTGAGATTACTTTATAGTATTTGATGTTGGCTTTGATGATAAATATGTTTACAAGGCCGTTCACATGCTTTAGATATCAGATTAGAAGAGAACGGAATAAAGTAACAATTGCATGAAAGTCAGAAAGAATAAGAGAGAGAAAGAGATACAGAAAGAATAGAAGAGAGAAAAGAGTGAGAGAGAGAAGAAACAAAAAAGAGCAAATGAAGGATGAAAGGGATACGAGTACCTTATACAGAGAAATATAGAAAATGAACAAAAGTGTTCTATAGAGAGGGCGATCAAATACGGAAGAGCAGACTACAACAACCGTTCAGTTCGAATGTATGAGATCTAATGGCAATTTTGAAATCAAAAAGTTGTTCACGTGAATATTTGCATATGGACGCTGACAGAGACATAAGTTTTCTTTGTGTATGCTAATTTAGAACCAACAATGATAAGCTGAGAATAATTCGAATAAACGTTTACAGATAAGAGATGAAGCTGAAACCCGGAATACCGTTTTGATCTAGTGTTATCACCAAGACAAGTCACAACATTTCACGTGATTCGTGTAAACTATAAATAGATATACACGTGAAAAACGTCATTTATACATAAATATATAAATAATATTTGGCTGACGACATAGTTAGCAAAGATAACAAAGTAATGAATAAGTAGAGAGAGAGAGAAAGAAGAAAAAAATAAGTTATATTGAACTGTTAAGCTTTCACATATGATTAGACATATGTGGATATCGATAAAAAGAAATAAAAGTGGATGAACAAACGATTTCGTCCTTCATCTCACAATGGGCTTTGCTCTTTTCAAATGAAGTTCACATGCCTAAAGCACACACGACAATTTACGTCAAAATTCAGATATAGTCAGCTTCCGGTTTTTGAGAGACGATGATAGAAGTTGTGCAATAAGAAAAGATAAGAAAGAAAATAGAAAAACTCTATGACAGTCGCATAAAGTCTTTGAACTAATTGATCTTACAATACCTCTCAGCTAGTTCATTCAAATAAACGTGCAAAATTTTTTATTTTTTTCCTTTTTTTTTCTTTTGTATCTTTGACAAGTTGTGAAGAGGGGGAAGCAACAACAAACATATCCTTCCAACTATCTATCCATATCTCTCTCTCTTTCTCTATATACATCTACCTCTACCTCTACCCCTCTCTATCTCTCCCTCTTTCTCGAAATTCTCTGCTTATCTTGCATTTTCCCTTTTTTTTAATATTTTCCATATGAATTTGAGTTATTTAAAGAACTTTCAAGCGGAGGTGGTCAATTTGAGCTTGTAACACGTGAAGAGAAAGAATTTTATTTGTTTATAATTGCGTAATGTAAATAAAATTAATGGAAGAAGAGTTCTCAAACCTCCTCCTCATGTTCATTAAATGCAGCGCTATCACTCTTTTACGTTCTTATGTGAAAAGAAAAGGAAGAAAAATATATAAAAACAAGGATAATGTTTCTTTTCTTCTACATCACTAAGTGCAATACATCGATGTGCCAGTACTACTAGTAGTTGTTGAGATTTGAATAATATTACGTGGAAGCTCACGTATAAGTTCATTTGCAAAAAGAAAATGCATGCAAAACGGTTGTATATCTAGATTGTAGTTAGAGCTATAATTTGAAAAAGAAAAAAAAGAAGAGAGAGAGAGAGAAAGAGAGAGAGAGAGGGAGAGAGGGAGAGAAGAAGAGAGAAATAAATATTTTCATTTATAAAATTATAAATAATACTAGTAAAGCAAATATTGTTTTGAGCGACATCTTTGATGCGGAAAGCTTTGATTTCGAGAAAATTCCAATTATTTTCATATTTCTAATCAATTCGAAAAGATATTTTGAACGAAAAGTTCAGATCTTTGGATATTTTGGAATTGTTTAAGCTTCCAAGCTTACATAGATTGAATGGGTTTCTCTTTGAATGCTTTTTTTGCTTACATGTAACATAAGGTAAGTTCCAACAGCATAAAGAAGACAAGCTTATTCAAACGTGTGACGTCATGCGGTCACGGAAATTTTGTGTGTTTTTGAATTTGAACAATCGCCCCCACAAAAGATTAAAAGAACATTTGAATGACATAATTGACCAGAAAACTGATGAATCTTATCAGCAGCTTCTAGCTGATTGTTTAACAAACAAACTATGAATGGATGTAAACTCAAATAACATGACAGAATACCAGATTAATTAGTTGGAATATTTAAAAAGGGAATTAGTCTTCTAAAGGTTTCGAGGATGAGTCAAGGGACGATTCGTCATTAAAGAAATACGAAAATTTCCTAGTCTCTCTGTTCTTCTGAACATAACAAAAAGAACAAGTTGATTATCACACACATGTATACACGTACAGACACACACACACACACAGACAAAGATTAGTTTTACAGATGAACTTTTATGAGACAAGAAGAGGGGGGGGGTGGACAAGATGAAGCGAAACAATGAGAGGGAGAGTAGAAGGTTGATGCACGACGACAACGACGACCATGTTTCAATTATTGTTCGAAAAGAAGAAAAAACTGTAATTTACATGAATTGTATTATCTTCTGTTTTAGAAGCGAAGCATGGAAAGGAGAATGAGAGAGAGAGTTCCATGAAACTGCAATGGAATTAGGCTTAAAACAGACAGAGTGCACAAGCGTTTTTTTTCTTCTTCCTCTTCTTCCCTCCTTCACTTACTCTCTCTATCTCTCTCTCTAGGGCTGTCATTCAAATAGTTTGGAGAAAAATAAGAAAGGAACGCAAAAAAAGGATTTTAGGTCGACAAGTAGTGAATAGGTCATTGAAAAGCTTGGGCAATAGGCGAAAACAAAGGAAATGTTGACATGTTTCACAAATTTGGGAATTGCAATCAAAATCTGATGTCATTCAGTGTGAAAATTAAAAGAGAATATTCAAAGAGGAAGTTAAAAGCTTTAAGTTATAGTAAGAGAGAGAGAGAGAGTATGAAGAGTCTTCTCTCTTTCTCTCTTACTACTTCTTGTCTTACTTCGTTCAACTGTGTCTGACCATCTACGTCTCTGTGTTGATGAAACTATTTGGTTCGAATGATAACTAGAACAAATAATGATGAATTTGATTCGTTTTTTTTAAAGATTCATTATAAATGACAATTCACGTGAGAATTTCTAGAAAAGTTTCACCAAACGGGAGAACAGTCGTTCATCTTTCTCGCTTCAACTTTCTGTGCTTTGTTTTGAAGAAGTTATGAAAGAAATGGAAAGATGAATTGTCAGCATGTTCATACTTGTATTGGCGAAAGAAAGAAACGAAGACATAGATGAAAGAAATGAAATGAAGAAATATGAAAGAATAATGATAGAAATGAGGAGATGAAACAGAGAACATGTCCATCTTCTAATGACCAATACTGTAAAGTGATGCAACTGTCAAGAAATTTCGTGGAAGCCGATGCAAAAACCTCTTCATCGTCATCATTTCTCTAAATCTCTCATATACTTCTATATGACATTTCAGATAGATTCATCACATATCTATTATATGGTATGATATACCAATGATGTCAGATGTATGATGATTGGACAAACAATTCGTTATGTTTTGGAAGAAACACAGCTTAGTTTTATTTTCTTTCAAAAAAAAAAAAACGTTCTAGTTTTAGGTGATAGAGAAGAAGAAGGAGAAGGAGACGAACAAGACGAACAAGACAATATTGAACAAAGATCATTACAGTAGCTTCAAAGAGTTCTTGCTTAGAAATAAATTATTTTATCACAATAGCAAAAAAAAAAAAGTTTTCAGACAGTTCCTGGTTCAATAGAGCATTACGTCACAATTATGCTAATCATATATATTGCGTGAAACTTACGTGAAGCTTCATATCACGTCAAAACAAAACAGATTGGCGCCATTTAAGCTTAATTCATCCAACTAAACGGTTGCATTTTCAGCATTCTGTTTGAAAATTGTTTTTTTTTTCCAACAGAAAACTAATTATTTTTCGCTTAGAATTGTTAACCATCAGTAGCAGAATGGAAATCAGTCTGTTTGACACAATGAAGGTTTTCTCATCATTCTTAGAGATTTGGTTGGAAAGAAAGAAGTAAAGGAATAAGTGAATGTTTAATCTGTTATGAATGAATGGATTGGAGTTGAGCATTTGAACTGCCAGAATGTAAATGATGTTCTGAGAAAATGCAAGAAAGAAGGAAAGTCGGAAGAGATTCTGTAGTTGTTGCCAATATGAGTGACAATAGCATGTGGAGTAATAGAAAAGAGCAATAAAAGCTCAAAAAATTCTTACATAATGAGAAGCTTAAAAAATGAATAATTTCTTGAAAGCAAAGTTGCAACGAGAAGAAGAAGAAAGAGGGAGAATGAGATGAATGAAGAGAAATGTTGAAGGAGAGAAACTAGAGAGATGAGGAACAACATGAGCGTTGAAGAAGGTGCTGAAGATTGAAAGAGTATATGGCTTACAAAACGGTTAGGAAGTGAATTGGATGACACGCAATAGTCAAAAATGCCAGATATTCATCATGAAAATGAATAAACGATTATTTTTTTATTCGCTCTCACATGGTGATGGAAGAA